ACTTTACAATCGGAGTTCCTTTTTTAAAAAAAATAAAGTTTAAATGCTGGAGCTCAATACTTGACATAATTGGTCGAAGCAACAATGTTAAGAGACGCAGAAATGATATACAGATGTTATGATAGATGAAGACTGACATCTAGTGGTCAACTGAAGCAACTACATGGAAAACTTTAAAATCCAAGCTTTTATTTTGAAGGGAAGATAGTTTCCTGTGCTCCGTGCTTTCGTTTCCCATCATAAATCAAATACGTCATGTACCCAGAATGCACTACTTCAGTTTTCCAATAAACAGTTTTAAAATTACTTTGTTGATGCTTCTTTAAAGAAAAATCTACAACAAACAAAAGAAAAAGACAAAGAAGCAGCCGAACTAGCAATCCTCAACAACTTTTTAAAGAAGCAGCCGAACTAGCAATCCTCAACAACTTTTTAAAGAATCAGCTGAACTAGCAATCCTCAACAACTTTTTAATTTTTACACCAGGAGATAAGGTCTGTTTCAGGAAATCACATCCCCAGCAACCGGCAGTTGTAGTATTAAGCTGTAAAATGGTTTATACACTGCTAGTTGGCAGTATTGTGCATATATTGTACATCAGGGGTGCCCAACCAGTCGCTCGCGGGCGACGAGTCGCCCGCCAGCTGATCCCCAGGTGTCTGCGCAGTGCAACCTTGCTGCGGAGCCTCTAGCGCCGGCTTTGAGCGTTGCATCCCAGAGTGGCTGGTCTTGTTTGAAAGCTCTGATTCTGCCCTATAACGTGAAAGTTTAATGAAATCCCTGCGACGTTCCCCCGCGGAACAATAAGCAAAAAACCTCTAAAATATGCACCGTCGGACCTCCCGCCGGGGTGGTTTTAGCCCCCCCACTCCCGGGCTAGGAGCATCGGATCCCGGCGTGGATGGTCAGGTTTAAAGTCCTGGCTCTCCCCTACAAGGGGAAAGTTGAGTGGAGTTCCTGCGACGTTCCTCCGCAGAGATATAAGCAAAAAACCTCCAAAATTACGCACCGTCTGACCTCCACTGGGGGTAGTTTTAGCCCCCCTCCCCGGGCTAGGAGGATCGGATCCCGGAGTGGCTGGTCGGGTGTTAAAGCTCTGGTTCTGCCCTACAAGCTGATACTTGAATGAAGTCTCTGTGACGTTGCCCCGCGGAGATATAAGCAAATTACGCACGACTTAGTGCATTTTACGCGCATTTTTGGGAGGAAATTTCAACCTTCGTTTGCTT